TTATAAAAATATCTTAATTTTAGGACACTTTGGAGTTGCTTTACGTGAGGTTTGGAAGGCAATCATTAGATTCAGAGATTCATGCAATATTTGGAGATGAAGAAAAAAGTAAGGACGGTCAAGAAAAGGCTATATCATTCAGTGAGTATATGGAGAAAATCAATGAAAGAGCAATTCAATAAAGGAAGCTAAGAAAAGAAGAATAAAAATAATAATTTTAATATTTTAAGAAGGAGAAAAATGGATCTTGAATCATTATCTAAAAAATCTTGCTAGAATTTTAATATCAAAGCAATTAATTTATAAACTAGAGATTTAATTAAATTCAAAATTAATTTAGTATTTCAAGACTTTTTAACAGATGGCCTTCTACTATGTTACTATAATTATTAAATCACTTGAGGAGTTTTACTATTTGTAAATAAAGATGGCTTTTCATATTTTTTTTTCTCTAACATCTCCTTAATTTATTATCCTTCAATTAATAGTTTACCCATCTAACCAATTTCTCTATTTGTTCTACTTAATAAAGTATTTTCATGTGAAGCTAATTAAATTTTGGCAGCAAGTCTATCACATTCTTGTTACAATTATCTGTTCATTCCTTCCAATCTTTCTACTACTTATTGTAAATGTATTATTTCCCTATCTTTAACAATCATCTATTATGCACTCTTATCAAAATGATACGAACTTGACTTAATGCAAATATATACTTTTTGTTAATTCTCCTTAATTGTCTCAATTCCTCCTCATTTTATTATAAATCATTTTCGAGATTACCAACTTACCTCAAGAGATCCCTGTTCTAATCTTGTAATTACATGCATTACTAAGAGACTACAACAAAGGATCTAAAATATTTTAATATTATTATACTACTCTGTCTATTCAAAATACATTTTTTTTTCTTAAATTTATTTAATCATAATTTCTGAATTCTTTTATTTTATCTCCAAATCTATTTAAGTTTCATCTTTAATTTTAATAAGATCAATTAAAGTTTATCTTTCATTTCTTAATTAATCTATTTAAATTAAATTCTCTTTGCATTCTTTAGCTTATTAATCTTTTAACTGATTTAACTGTAATGCATATATTTTATTTTCTTTCTATAACTAACTAATATAAATCTATTGATCAGACTTATTTTGTTACAATTCCTTTAATTATTAATTAATTTCTTTGGTTTGTTGTTAAACCTACGCTTCTTTGAATTACTGTTCTTGTAGTTATTATTATATCTTTTCGACAAACGAATCCTTTTCAAATAATTAGTTTTTTAACATCTAAGATTCCTACAAGTATTGATTATTCAAATCTTATAAATCAGAATGCTTTTAAGTAAGAATCATAAATTCCTCATTTATAGCTTAAATTTATTATTGATATTGTTAATTGCTCATTTGTAATTGATCCAATTAGTTTTTCAAAGATTAACACTCTTTATTCTAGTTTTTTTCTGAGTGTGATAATTATTGTTATAAAGCAGTGTATCTATCACTAGAACTCTAAATGGAATCGATTTTAGATACCAATTTATTTCTTTCTATTTCAATTTATTAATAACCACTATATAAGTTTGAAAGGTTTTGCTCATATTTTTCTGATTGATATGTTAACTGTTAAATATAATTTTTTAGGTCCTCGATTGTCAAATACAATTGGCTAATTTCCTATTCTTTTGTAATAATTAATTTCTCCAATTCTTTTATTTTTTTTCGGTTTTACCTCTTAATGTTTCTGCTTTGATCTTAACTTACGAGATTATTGAAGTCTGAATGAAGATAGTCATGGTTATTAAGTGATTCCTATAAATTAGCTAATTCTTAAGTTAGTTATTCATTGTCTTCTTATAAGGATATAATTTGTTCTTTATATGAATGATTTTCTTATGTAAGGTAATCATTTTATTAAACTTTTTGCTAAATCTGTGAAATCTGATGGTCGTTTTCTTAAATTATCTAATTGTAATATGTGGCAGTTGATTCAATTTGATTTTTGTACTCATGTATTTAATTTTCAAAGGATTCATTTTCCTATCTTAACCTCTAACTAATAGTAAATTAAGTTGTTAGATCATTCTTGAGATTTTCAATTTCATCATTTAAGTCATTGTTTTCAGTTTCGAATTGACTCAAAGTCTAGAATTAGATTAGAGGATTTACCTATTTCAATTATTGGATTTCATGTTATAATTTCTAATTTTCAATGAAAATATTTTGATTCAGTGTTTGGAGATTGTCGTATCTTGAATTTAATTCTAGTAATTCATCTTCTTAAGAAAAAGACATAAAATATATTTATTTTTCAAATAAAAGATTAACGATCATAAAATTATCATTTTTCACCATCTGAATCAACGACTTTAATATCATTTCCGAATAAATCATCGAAACTGGCTTGCTTTTTCGTTTCTTTAATGTTTAAGTTTAATGCTACTTGTTCTTAGATGTTTTATTGCTATTATTAATATCCGCCAATGGATTAAGACATACAAGGCAAAACTGGAGGTAGCCAATAACTATTGATCATACTTTAGCCTAAAGGCATCATGAATGAAGGTTAGTTTGCCAATAAGAGTATTGGTTAGATATTGCTTTGTCTATTGATATCATCAATTGACTTTTGTAGAAATAGCATATTATGATCTGATTAAGTTAAAGTAGGACATTTGCTGTTGTTTTCTTCGCTTTTAACCGATTTATAGAGATGTTTAAGAATGAGTCCTTGAAAATCTAATGTGTTGAATGGAGATATAAATATGTTTTTAGTTTTTTTATTGAAAATTACAACTCCAGATCTATCATTCTCAACATGGAATTAATTGTCCACTCTTTTTATGTTTAATAGTTTTTTATATAAAATGCCATTTCTACTAGTATTAGAGGTGATTTCATTGTGAAATAAATCAAAAAAGTCATCGTTTTTAATTTTCTAAGCTTCTTGGTATTTACCCTCTTAAACGCATAAATCAATATATAAGCTTTGAATGGCCAAAACTATAAATTGCCATTCGTAATTATCAATTTCTTCGATGGGTGTAATCTTACCATACTTCTTTGCATAATCCATTCTTAATTATTGAACTTTAGCAAATAATTAAGGGTTTATAGTTTCAAATTCGTATTTTAATTTTTCTTTTTTTAAAAGTGAGTTGTATTTGTTCTTTAATGAATTTTCAGTTCTTACTCTACCATACAAAGCTGATAATTCCGACCATTTTTTGCCTCTTATTAAAATGGTCTTCAATAAATCAATCTCTTATTATTTTGACCAGGGTTCACTAAAGTTCAATATTTAAATATTTACTTGCAAATATTTGGATCCAATCTATTAATCCATCTTTCTCTACATTATTTTGGCTGTCTAAATATCTTATTAGGAGATCTCTTGTAAATCTCTCTGGCTATTTGAGACCACTTGTTCTCCTTCCCTAATCTACTGAATTCTCTAAAAATTATAATTTAAACTATTGCATACTCATGAACTTGTTGTAAAAGCTAATCTTCCTCTTCAGTCCATGGAGCCTCAGAAAGGGAAATCTTGTATTTTTGTTCCCATTTGAGTCTGCATTGATGGGCATTACGTCCGAGTATCATTTTAGCTATATCTCTCCACTCAGAAGGTGTCTTATGGATTTAAGAATAATTAAATATACAAGTGAACTTAAGTCTTTCACTAAACAATATCGAATAACTATCCAATAGAATAAACGCTTATCAGTGTCATTCCATTTTACACTTCTCCTTCTAGCATTCTAGCTATAATAATTTAGTCTATAATCGAAATACATGTTTAATTAGAATAACATTTTAGCTTCATCAATTGTAGGCCAATTTTCAAGCTTCAATCGAAGATTTGCACCTATTTTACTTAATTATTCTCTTGTTTCTACGAACTCTTTGGTATTCTCTACAAAAGTACAGAAATGCTGATTCACTACTTCGTATGGATAGACTTGAAGAATAACTTAATTAAACATACTTATTAAGTCCTCCATCTCACAACTCCCTGCTAGTTTTACTTCCTTTGTCTCAGTTTGCATAAATTAAATATATAATACTGTATTATTAATTCATAATTAACTACAGCGTTGATAATTGTATAAACAAAAGTGTTTATATATCAATTAATGAGTTTTTTATAAACTTTATCAACTTCTTCTTTCATGTTGAAAATATTCAAAATATTCTCTTCCACCCTTATCAAACTTTGATTCTATGGTCCATCATGGGCAATGCTACTTAACTCTCCTCCGTTCATACTCCTCAATGTTCCATTAATCATATCTTAATTGCTTGAGAGATTTCCAGGTTTTATTATTGACAATCCTGAAAACATCTATCTGCTGATTCCTACTCCCATTCCTTTTTTTGGTCCATTCTTTAATCTGAAGCTCTATAGAAAAGTATTCATATCATGCTTTTCTTCATTTTAATTAACTGCCTTTTAACAAACTAATTACTTAAGTCTTAAATTTCGATTGTTTCATCTTTTTATTTAAAACTTCTTAAATAATCCTCATAAGGTGTTTGATAATACGATGGCAATCCTGGATAAGTATTAGGCATAAATTTTAACTATTTTGAAGGTGCTTCCAAAGAAAAACTTAAGAATTTTTAATTATCACTTAATTTTATTTCCTTTTATCTCTCATTTTATCCATCATACCTTCTCATTATAAAATAATTATTAATTATAATTTTAAAGATAAAAAATATTGATTAATTATGAATCTAACTTTCTATTATTACTTTGGTAGTTTTTGTTAAGTTATGGCAATCATAACTTAATTGTCTTTTTTTAGTTATAAATTTTGGTTAATCATTCCATAGCTCCAACATAGAAAATGTAGAGGGTAATGTGAAATAAGCAAACAATCATATATTTTTAATAGAAAGAAATGTAATACTAAATAATGAGTTAATATCCCTAATGAAATATCTTTTACGTGAACACTATATAAATAAACTTAATCAGATATTTAATAAATATAATCAGAATAAGACATGGAAACCCATGCTTGATGGTTATTAAGTTGAATTGCATCTATTTCTGGTAGTACTTGGAGCTGAAGATTTAGGTCTTGTAAAGAATTTGCGACTACTTATATTTCCTTGTCTCAAATCAAAACTTTAGGCCATTTAAAATGATGAAACATTTTTAAAAACCATATCATCGAATTTTAAGAACTTTTTTATTATTTGTGTATTTTTGATAACACTATGATTGCATTTAAAGGAACTGTTTAATTTCTAATTTAACCTGCTTTAAAGATTCTGATTTTAAGATTTTAGAAATTCATTATTAACTTATAAATCATCCCTACTTTTTTATAATTTTTAGATAGACTTTTGATATTCAAGAAGTTCTTTAGATAGATTTGGAGTGAGACTTTATTATTCTTCAACTAGTACCTTTTGTTCTTTATTAGGTTTCTATTTTTTCTATTTATTCTGGGTTGTTTAAGTCCCAATGGAGGGATTCTCCTATTGATTGTTATTCATCATTTCGAGTTGAATATTCTGTGATTCAATCAGTGTTGGCTTTTAAGGATCCTTCAAAGGGTTAAGACCAACTGATTGTTGTTGGTGGTTAGGATTAATGAAAATTTCAGCTAGTTACAATTAGAGGGTATTCTTATGAGAGAAATATTCAGATTCCGAAATGATATTGTGACTTTTAAGTTGTAAGAGGAGGGAATTGATCTTCTAGGTTAAGAGTTGATTAACAATTTCAAGACACATATAATTTTTGGTCTGAATAGATTTAAATTCTTACTCTAATATGAGTTTTGAGTATTGTTCATTCTTTAATCGGAGTTATTCACACATTAGTTTGCATTCCTCATATTATTGAACAACTAACAAAAGTTGTGATTTGTATTTAGATTCCAATTATTTCATCTATTAGATAACATAATCGTGCGCTTTGGATTATAGCAAAGTTAATTTATCTCTGAGTTTAATTTCTTATGAGTCCCTTAACACTTACATGTATTAAATTTGATTCATATTAATTTGTATTTATTATAATATATTGTTGCGATTCAAAAGACATTTATAAATTTATGATTAATTTTTCTTTATTTACTCTGCAAAACAGAAGAGATGCTTATTTTCAATGAGTAGGAGTCTCTCGAATTTTCTCCTTTATCATTTGAGTTCTAAGTATGAAATATGTTGAGTAGTGAATTATAAGTTATAAATGAATTTGATAATTTTATGTTAATATATATTTTATTATTGGGGTTAATTAATACTTAAAATGGACCCGTTTTGATTGAGAAATTCGGAAGGAGCAAGAAGAAATAGGTTCAAGCACCTCCACCAGATTTTGAGTGCATCGATGAACTTGATGAAGATGATGCCCCGCCTAAGGAATACCCATTGAAAGTGGGATCTTTATATCATTTATCTGATGGGTGGTATTTGAGATCAGAGGATTCCACCAATTAATAAGTGACTCTAATAAACATGAATGATATAAGCAGAATCAAATTTGTTGAGAAGGAGATAGAAGCAACATTACCTGACAAATAGCCAGAACAGAAATTAAAGGACATGGAATGGACACCTTTATTGGCATTCGAACGATTTCCTAGGTAAAGAGGAGGTCATTCAATGCATTCAATAGGAGATTACGTAGTGTTGTTTGGAGGTTGTTTGTTGAACATTTAATGCTTCAATGACTTATTTTTATTTAATGCAAGGACACGTATATGGACGACACCAAAGGTATTTGGAATACCTCCAGTAGGTAGAAGTGGATTCGGATCACTGGTTAATGGAGCAAGACTGTATATATTCGGAGGACATACTATGTAAGGGTTGGTCAATGACTTATTTGTATTTGATTTGGAGAGTAGAAGTTGGAATTAATTGTCATGGCCAGGTTAAGCACCAACACCAAGGGCAGGTCATAAAATGGTATTGACAAAATTGGGAGGTTTAATTTTTGGAGGGTTTGTTGGAGAAGTATACACAAATGACATATTTATTCTGGACTTTGTAAATGAGAGATGGGGAAAACCATCAGGTGGTGGAGATGTGCCTCTTGGAAGAGAGAGTTTCTCAATGACTTATCATCATGGGTTGACTTATGTTTTTGGAGGTTATGCTAAAGGATTGATAATGAATGATCTATATACAATCAATGAAGATTTGATTTGGCAGAAAAGGGAAGTGGAAGGTGATATTCCTAGTCCTAGATAAGGAGCAGCTATGGCTGAATATGATAATAGAATATTTATAGTTGGAGGATGCAATCCCATATTATTTGAATGCTATAATGATGTTTATACATTAGATACTCAATCGATGACCTTTGCTAATGTGACTGTGGAGAAGAAAAGAAATTTAAGACAAGTTGCTTATGGTAGTATGGTATTCGCAGGATCTTTATTGATTCATTTTGGTGGATGCAAATTATTAAAACATTGCAGTGATTCATTAATAGGATTGGCTGTGGCATCAGCTGAAACATGTCCTCCTTGTAAGAATGATGGAGAGTGTAGAGCTGGTCATTGCAGTTGCAAATAGGGTTGGCAAGGAATTGATTGTACTTAGAAGGTTCTCTGTAAGTAAAATTGTTTGGAATAAGGAATATGTTTAAGTAATGGATATTGTAAATGTTATCCTGGATACACAGGATCTGTTTGTCAATTGAATGTGCCATGTCCAGGTAATTGTACTGATGAAGAACATGGTATATGTGAGTTGGATGGAAAATGTAAATGTTTTGAAGGATTCTCAGGTGTCACATGTAGTGGTAATCCTGAAATCGATAGCAAATTGCCACAATCAACGGGATGTTTGGATGAATGCAATCACAGAGGTTAATGTAATTTTGAAACTGGATTGTGTGCATGTGAGGATGGATTCAGTGGTCCTGATTGTTCACTTGTCTAAGGAACAGAATCTGGGTATACTTCTATTTGGGATCTATTAAAGGAGTATGACGGTGAACACGAGAATGATTTAGAACCAGCAGATGCAGGAGAAGAGGATTTAAAAGAATTTATTTCGACTGGATACAAATTTAATCAAAGGTAAGAAGGACCAATGCCAATGTTTGATGATGATATTGATAGAGTATATTATGTAGATGTAGATGAAAATGGTCATGTTGTAGACGATAATCATCAAAACAATAATAATTAAAATGATAATGCTCAACAATAGGATCCTAATAATGAAGATAATAGTAATTATCAATAATCATTACAATCTGATCCTAAATTTAAACCTTACAATATTTAAGGAGAGAATACCAACAATCTCAATATCTTACAATCCAATCAAAATCCTTTTTCATTCAATTTTATGATGGTACCTCCCAAGGTTTCATCCAAAGAAGAAGATCCATTTAAATTGTTGTTATTAGATGAATGTCCTAAAAGATGCTCAGAACATGGAGTATGCATTGAGCATGAGTGTTATTGCTGGTTTGGTTACACTGGAGATTGGTGTTAGGCTGAAAAAGTCAGTGATTTCTATAAGGGATGGACAAAAAAGGGAGTGATTTAGGCATGCGTCATAAGTTTCATAGTGGGCATGATTATCGGCTATGGCATAGTGTTGCTAATGAAAAAGAGAGGAAATAATGATGAATTTAGAAATATGTCTGAGGTTCCAAGTCAGAATATTGATGACAATGAAGGAGAAGTGGAAGAACTAATTATATGATATATAATTATTATAATCATTTTATGAAATAGTCATATTAACATGTAATGGATTTGATCAATATTATGCAGACATAATCAGTTGCGTGTCACAAGAACGAAATATTAGAGTTTAGTTTTGGTGTAATCTGATAATTATTTATTTAATAAATTATACATAATATGGAAGAAAAGGAGATTGAATTATTCGGGAGCAATACTAAAATTAAAGATCAATAATAAGATGAATAGGAATAGGAATAAATACAATATCGAAAGCAGGAATATAATTGCATCCGATTGTTGACTTTGATGCTAAAAAAGAATCTATTGCTCTTTCAAAGATAGAAATGTCTCTCCATCTTTTTATTCTTATCGCCGTTATTGATATGTCTATTAATCTTATTATGGCAATACCTTGTGGATCGATTCACAGGATTCCTGATAATAGATCCACCTATAAAAGATATATTGAAATAAATCCCAAGATGCACATCTTATAATGATAATAATTGCATAACGATCGGATATTTCGTACTGGGACAAACCCAAGATTGGATAACAAATGTAATGAAACGAGTTGCCCATACAAATCACCTTAAATATGATTAGGATGTCAAATTTATAGGAAATTATGATCAACCAAGTCAGATTTCAGAATATCTATTGTCTCATATGAATCTCACTTAAATAGCAGTAGTATTTTGTACAGATTCTTGGATGTTGTATGATAAATAGCCAGAGATTTCAATCCCATGTTAATTTGAAAGACTTGATAAATAGGTAGTGTTCTATACCATATTGTACAATTACACTCTATTGTACAGGTCTCCATACTTATCAGACATGAAAATAGCATATCCTAAAGATGCCTATGCATCATCTCTCAAAATCAGTTTGGACAACGCAATACTGAGGGAGTTCACCAAAATTCCTAAAGAAGATGACGAAGAATTCTTGTATATATCTTAATAGGAATTTCCGACTATCCCAACTAGATTTATGTAAGGAATAGACATCGTGGGCAATTACGGTGCGTTTTACTTCTTTGCTCCCTACTTGCTTAACTTTTTGGTGTTAATAAATGAGATGCTGTAAGAAAAGGGCAAGAAACTTCGATAAGGTTTAACAGTGATGGGATTGACCCACACAATTTATTGGATTAGTTGGAGTATCACAGCGTTGATTCTAGTAATCATTTTGACAATCAACCTATTGATTTGTGGGTAAGTGTTTAGGATGGACTTCTTTTTAAACACACCTAATTTGATTTTGTTCATTTTGTATGTGACTTTTGGTTTTTCGATTTCATTGGTAGCATTCTTTATAGTGGTTGTATGTCCAGATGTGAAAAATGGATATACAATAGCCTATGGATTCATACTAACAGCAATCCTGATGCAGATGTGTTTTACTTAAGCAGGGATGTCAATTCTATTTTATCGTTTAGATGCTTCTAGTTGGGTGAGTGTGGCCAGAATATTAATGAGTTTGTATCCAGCATTCAAATATTCATTGATTTTTGCAGATATTTCTATAAAGTCTTGTCGACATTACTCTTTGGAAGAAGGGAGATGGGTAGAAGGAGATGGATTCACTTTTGCTGACTTATTCGCAGTAAATAGTGGTAAAGTATAATTGGATAAGAATGTCCAATATCAATCGCCATGTGCAATGGATAACTATTTCCATTTATTGTTGGCATGTATGTTCTACATCTTGTTGACATACTACTTCGATCACATTCTTGAAAGTGTATGTTTATTATTCATTAATAGAATAGAGGAAAGGCTGATTCATTATTGTTCTGCATCACTAAACCCTTTAACATGTTCTTCAAGTCTCCTCCTTAGCCCATCACTGATCTTCAATACTAGTGTCATACCAATGATTCAGCTCAATTAGAGAAGGAGAGAGTAATCAAGAATTCCAATAACAACTATGTGGATGGGTTGAGAATCATAGGGTTAAGTAAGACTTATCACAAATATCCCTTCAATATAATATCCAAAGATGATGTTCATGCTCTTAAGGATATTTATCTAGAAATAAATTCTGGAGAATGTCTGGCATTGTTGGGACATAATGGAGCAGGCAAGACTACTTTGATTGGATTGTTGACAGGGATGTTCAAACCGTCTAAGGGAACTGCTCAAATTATGAATTATGATCTCAATGATATGGAAAAGATTAGAGCTATGTTAGGGGTGTGTCCACAATTCGATATTCTATGGAATCAATTGACTGCAGCTGAACATCTAAGAATGTATGCTACGATTAAAGGATTGCATAGAGATCAAATAGAGAATGAGATAGATCTTAGATTAAAGGAAGTTGAATTGTTGCATGTCAAAGATCAACAAATTCAAACATACAGTGGAGGAATGAAAAGAAGAGTTTCTTTGGCTATCAGTGCGATTGGGAATCCAAAGATCATTATAATGGATGAGCCAACCACAGGAATGGATCCCAGAGCTAGGAGGCAGGTTTGGAAAATGATTAAGAATATGAAACAAAATAGAGTTGTGATACTAACTACACATGCTATGGAAGAAGCAGATGTGTTGGCTGATAGGATAGCTGTGATGGCTGAAGGATAATTGAAAGCTATTGGTACGAGTTTGTTTCTGAAGAACAATTTCTCAGATGGATATAGAGTCAACATTATCACTGATTAGGTGGATGAATGTTTATCAAAAATAAAACTCTTATTAAATTAATTTAAACTATTAGACACCAGTGGTGGTAGCATTTTGTAAATTTATCATTTTATTTCAGAATCTCCATACCCTTCTAATATATGCAAGATTTGAAGGCCTTGTTTGAAGTGTTCGAAAAGAAAGAATCCGATTTATCTGAAACCTAATTGCAATTAAGAAAACTCATTAAGGATTGGGGATTGAGTCATGCAACATTGGAAGAGGTCTTCATGAAAGTAACTAGATGTTGTGAATGATAATTGTTATATTATCGAACATTTATTAAAGTTTGTTGTATCTATTATTTAATCAAATTTTCCTATTATTTAATACTTATTATGAAATCTCAAGCTGTCTTTACTTATTCCTTCCATACCTCCAGAGATCCTTGTCATTTTTAATTTACAAAGACCATCCAATAGAAACATAAACATTCATTTAGTGATCTCTTTGCTAGTAATTAATTAGAACAGCGTATCAATTAAAAGATAAGAAGAAAGAGTTGTCATTGCAATGAATGTGGTAGAATGAGCAAATTCCAATACAAGTTTATGAATCTCAAGCATCACTAACCACAACCAAGGAATCAGAGTTACACTCTTCATGCATCAACAGAACATAGGCCAATTTAAAATAGATTCTCTATTTAACTTCCAAGTACATCCTACTCATTATTCAGATATCCAACACATTCGCAAAAGTTAGGGCTCCTTTCGTGTCAGTAGAAAATAGTTAATCAATGATAAATCTGATGAACAAAGATCTCCACTTATGCTCTACGACTCTTCCTTTGCCAGGTCCTCTATTAGTACAACCTAGAAATTATTGGAAGATACTGCTCACAAAAATAAACCTTTCAGACCAAGTGTTTTTCATTCTCATGATGGACCTTCTCCACTTGTACTTAAATCTCAGCAATTAATTACTGAGAGACTTCCTTAAACTGAAAGATCTACAAATACTAAAATTAAACTCCGCAATAATCCTAAACTCTTGTGCCCGCTCTTAATTGGGTTTACTAAAAAAGTTTTAACTTTTTCAAAAATTAAACCAACTTAGACAAACAAACACAATAGATTTAAAACATAATGATATTCTTTATAATTTTATATTTATGTTTTAAACTTCTTAATAATTATTGTATATAATCATCAAAGAAATAAATAAAACAATTTTGAATTAAATCATAATGTTTGACTTCGATATGTTTATAATTTAAATTAACTTATATTTTGATAATGAATATTATTTCTATTTCATTTTATAATATATTGTAATAATAAATATAAGATTTTATTTAAGAACAGTAATTACAACTATATTAAATTATTAATAAATTGAGAACTCACTATGTCTTCATCAACAAATCAAAAATTAATAAAAAGCAGGAACAAAAGTTTTATTCGTCCTCAAAATCATCAAATAAGTGAATAATTTAAATAAAGAAGAAAAAGTTGTAATTGTGAGTCATGTGGATAACTTAGCTCTCTATAATTCAAGTTTCTGAATTTATAATCATCTGATTCCCATCTTTCAATCAACAAACCAAAGAAATATTAGAGCATTGAATCTACATATATGGATTCTCAAGATGCCATCATTGCAAATAATTAAATTCATAAACCTTAAGCAATCGAAGTTAAATTACAGCGCCATACAAACCCTAATACAAGTCTGATTTAAACTAATTAGTTCCACTATCCAAAGAAATAACGCTCAAATAGTTGTTGTTGTGACGAATGTGGAAATATTACTAAATTTCAATCATCAGCAAAGTTAATTTATATCTAATAGATAATCAAAAACAGACACACTAATTTTAGAATTAAAAGAAACCTTGATTAAATGTTCAAAGGAATCAGTCCAATCGAAAAAAAATAAGAATAAGAACCTGAAGATGATGAAAATTATTCACCCTATACAAATCAAATCACCTCATTTAGAAGATCAAATCTAATATTGAATCAACGTACAAAACTACTCTCAAAAGGTTATTAAGGCAGTTCCAGAAAGGTATTCCTTAAAGATGCTTGCAAAACAACATTCTTTACTAAAACCAATTCAAATACTAGGGATCTTACAATAAAACCTGAAACCTATACTCCAAACGTTACAAAAAAAAAACTAAACCTGCCAATTGTGAAATCCTCTAACAGCAAATCAACATAAGTAGCCAATGAAGTTCAACTTTTTAAATTTACTCCTAAATTAAATAGTATTAATCTAATATCTTGAATTAAAGATGACTATTATTAAAATTTAATATTTATTATTTATTTGAAGTTGTATTTCTTTTAAGCTATTCCAATATTTTGAACACAATGAGAAGATAAATAAGTAAAAAAGACTACACTATAAAATGTGAAATTGTTTTAAATAAAATCTCTAACTCTAGAAGTTTTAACATTTAACAAGTTTAAGATGATGTAATCGAATAACCAAGAGGTTTAACAAGAAGAAAAAGTTGTTACTCTTAATTATTTGGATACATGAATAAATTCTAAAATCGATACCATAATATTTTACCTGAATTAAAAACCAAATATTGTACTTAAGATAAGGAGACAAAGGAAACCTATAGAAGACAAACGTAAATAGCTGAAGATACGGTCATAAGGAAATTTCGAAGAGGCCTTTAAGAATTGACAAAATGCTAAACTGTTATATAAACTCTAAAAATGCTTAAAAATAAAAATAGAAACATCTAAAATTTTATTAAATAAATGAGAACTCCTAATAATAAAATTGTGCAAGAAAAAACAAGAAGAAACAGTTGCTTTTGTTCAGAATGTGGTTCACAAAGTCAGTTTTAATTGACTCATTAAAATGATCCATATTTCAATTATTTCAATTATAATGAATTTTTAAAAAGAAAGATAATTGATCCGAAATTCAACAAGTTTAAAAATAAACTATTATCTCAAATATAATTAGAAAATATGAAAAAAAGCTTCGTTAATGAAAATAAATCATAAATCAATAAATATAAAACTGTTTCAAGAACTACTAATCTATTATTAAAGCTATCCTCAACAAAACTTTCAAATTAAAATTAGAGATAATTTTCTATTCAATCAAAAAGAGTTAAAACTGAATTCACACAATGCTCTCCTAAGTCATTCAAATAATACTCAAGTCAAACTACCAAATATAGAAAATTTGTAACCTATTCCAACTATTAGTCAATGATTACGAATTAAACTAAAGATAGCTTTAAATCTTTGGCTTCTATATACAAATGAGACGTCATTATGAGTATTGAAAAAACTTATAATATAATATAAATCTTTATAAATAAGAATTATAATCTTAAGAGTTTAGTCTTCCAAAGTTTGTTAAATTAACCCATTCTATATATATTCATTTTTATTAATGGTTAAAATCTTAAACTATACATTATTCTAGACTGAATTAAAATTAATCTTTCAAAAGTCACGAGAATTTCTTTCTTGCATTAATAATTAATAAGATTACACAAATAAGCTACCATTTGTAACATTTTTCTTATCAATTTAGGAGAATCTAAAGAAAATGAAGAAAACCTTAGAATTAAAGGAAAATTCATTGTTTATATTTGCCGAATAAATAATATTATTTCTGTCTCATATGTTCAAGTTTTGAGAGGAATTCAATTAATAAAATTTCAAGCAGCGGATTTGAATAATTGAATATTACACTAAACTAAACACACAGTATTTTCAATTAAAGAAATTATGAATTGTTATAATATATAATTTAAAATTCAAAATTAAGATGAACTTTAGTGAAATCTTTCCAGGTGTAATATTTGCTTAATTTGCACCAAATAGCAAATACATTGTGTTAAGTAATGGAACAAGAGTAATTGTAAAAGAATCTGATTAATTACAATCAATTAATTTTACACATTCATAAATTAATGATGCTTAAATACAATAAATAGAAATATCACCTAATAGTGAATTAATTGCATTAAGTTATCCAAAAAAGGGATACGTAGAAATTAGAAAAATAGATGAAATTAATTGGTGTGCAAGAATTGATGACAGTGTTGAAACTATTTAATGGTGTCCAGATTCTATTTAATTAGCTGTTATTAGTGAATTTTAAGTAAAAATAAATAAAATCATTATAGATTAAAGCATCAATTTACAATTTGAATAACAAAAACGTGACTCATTTTAAAAACCCAAAATAAATTTCATTTAGTCATAATGGGAGATTCATGGTAATGAGCGAAAGAAAGGATGCTAAAGATTTTATTGGAATTTATAGTGTTAGAGATTGGAAATTATTGAATTATCAACCTTCTGATACCTTAGATACAGCATTATTACAATGGTCACATAATGACTCGTTCATTGGAGTTTAAGACACTGAATTAAATGTAATTTGTTTTATCGAATATTGATTAGTTTCGACTCAATCTTCATTGTCCTTGTTAAGGTCTATAAATGAAATTTGAACCTTATTCATATTCACTTGGTATCAAAGTTAGTAGGTTTGCTAATTAAAGTGATTTGATGGCTGTTGGAGCTAATGATGAAAAATTAAGAATCATTAATTTACTGACACTTAAATAAATAACAGAATTAGAGCATAAGATTACAAAGGATGTTTTAATCTATAAAGAAGAAGAGTATTCTGATTAATATTCATAGAGGGTAGTGACTAAATGTAATATAATAATATGATAATTAGTTACTTAAATGGAATAAGGTTGTAAAATCAATATCTCAAAGAACCAAAATGGTATTAGTTTATTGGAATGGAGTTATAAGGACGACTATATTGCCACTAAGTTTGATGGAATGTAAAATTGTGTCTTCATTTGGGACATGGAATTATTGACCTTGAAAGCTATAATGGTTTAAATATTACCTGTTAAATCTTTTACATGGTCGAAAAATTCTACAACTCTAACAGTTTGTACTGGAAGTAGTAAGATATTCTTTTGGAATCCAACATGTACATCTGCTTGCGATATGCCATTCGATAAGAACTTCCATGTTGTAAAAATAGATTGGAGCACTGATCAAAAAAGTATGTTACTTTTTGATAAATCCGATGTTGTTGTTGCTTATCCAACTTTAGATGACAGTTTTTGATTAATTAATATATTAAATCACCATATGTGTCTAACATCAACATATGATATATTTGTGAGTGTAAATGAAAATAAAAAGACTATATTTAATATTTTAAAATGAGCGATACCCAATTCATAAGGAATTTAAATATCAAACAATAATTGCAATCAAATAAGCTAACAGCATTCATCTGCCACTTCGGTATCAGGAGAGACATAGTTGTATTTTTTCCAACATTCTACTTCAATAACAGTTTGAACTTGCTTCCCCTTCTCTATTTCATCGACAAATGTTATTTTGTGTTTCTTTAGTCCTTTCATTATTTCTACACCAGTCTTGTCCTTCCTTTTTATTTTTTGAACTACTATCTAATCTTAATTCACAATATTATTTGTTAATTCCATACTATTATAAATATGAACAAATCCTTCTCAAAACACTTAAGATCCTTTCTTTAAACTCATTTTTAAAAACAAAAAAATTGTATAGAATTACATTGCATTAATACTTAAGGCATTCTCAATTTTGATAAACCACATATTATTCAACATTACAACTGATAACTGCAATAAAATACTTAGAATAATTCTCATTTTTTATTATATATACTCTTCTCTTTAATATCAAAGGGCTTTTATACAATAATACAATCTTTATACTGCCTTATAAACTAAGAATTATTAGCGATAAGCATTTATAAGAATATAATTATTAATTAAGACAACTTTTATTCTTTTATAGTCTAATATTAGATAAAGAAGGTAGTTATAGCTTTTATTGATTTCAGAATAAGTACCTTCATTAACAGAACTTAGAATTAAAAGCAATTAAAAATACTGAAGTGAGTAAAAATGAAAAAAAAATTATAAAATTTTATTCTGAAAATAGTATAATAGGACTGGAAAAAAGGTTTAGATTATTTGATTTATAATCATCTTGTTATATTTATAATATAATGATTGATAATATTGTAAATTTTAACATTTAGTTCATTTCTTTTTATTGTTTTTGAACATATTTTAGATTGGATCATAAGGATCAGGTTCTGGTTTCCAGCCTTTTTGATATTTCCATGTTTTTGGTATTTTTCTATCTTAAGGTTTAAGGTCTTTGTTTCTTTATTTATTATTTTGATCAGTCTAGAACTTTTCCAAGGCTTCACCTTTGCCATAGGTTCTGTTAATTGTGATTTTATTAGGGTCAACTTAAATTTTTTCAATTTCCTTAGACATTAATAATTGACAGTACTTGTTGTAGATTTTTAATTTATTCATCAATATTATAGGGTTTAGTAGCATCCTCTAATTTGAGATTCTCTGAGTTTCCAGCTAAAAATCCCCAATCTCTATTCCAAGCAGCTGTACATGTTAATTCATTATTGACTCTTCCAATCCAATTTCTATCATCCGCCACAGGGTCACCTGTTGACACAAATTTTCCTCCTGCTTACTTTTATTATACTTGTTTAGGCATGAAATTTATATGATATAAATATTAATCAATTAAGTTACATTTAAATGAAGCATAAATTATAATTATCGATGTTTTATTGTTATTATTTATATATATGAGCAGATAATTAAGACGGTAAAAACATAAAGAGTTCATAATATATTAAAATAGTTGTATGTTTCATCGTTTCTTATTGGAAAATCGCTCAAGTACTTTATTCAAAGAATCTTGATGCATTCTAACTTTTGGTGTGACTGATAGTAATTAACTCATATTTATAATAGTATATTTTGGTTTCTTTTTAATTGGAGATTATGAAATATTTTTCTATTTTTACTAATCTTCTTGTGTTAATGTTGGAGTGAATTTGAATCGAATTCTGCTCTTAGTTGTAGAAGGAGTATAAAAATTAGCACTAAAAGAACCAGTCTGATATGCTTAACTTTAAGTTGGCCTATGATGATGTAAAGAGGTAATGGATGCTTGTTGGTTAATTTATTTTGGCTGTGATAATGTTCTGATCCTATGACTACTATTTTCTGAGATTCTCCTTTCTAATTTAGGTAAATAACCGGTAAATAAGGTATCCAAATAGCATTGTTCCTCAATATCCCATCCTGAATTATCACACAAATTCATTTTAAATATATAATTTAATTAAGTTTCCAAGAACTGAGGTGGAAAACATAGCAATTCTATTTTGCACTATAAACATCTAAGTTTATATTAATGATTAATATATATTTTTCATTCTATAAGCCACCATATTATACAGAATATTGAGTAATAAAAATAAAAATCATATAATGAAATAATCTGTAATAAGATAACGAAGAGGATCATTTGATTCATAGATTTTCTCTTCTTTATTACAATCGAATTTTATAGTAGGCGATCAGAAGAAATTGATAGACGATGAAATAATCAATTATTAAATAGATGATGAGTTTGAGATGATAGAAAAATGTATAATCTTTAATAAATTAGAACCAAAAAATATACCAATACCTTTGTATAATAATGATTAATTACACAAAATCTCTAAAAACTAATTCTTGGGAGAGAATCAAAAGTTACAATTAGCAGCCACCTTAATTTAATAAAGAGGTATTCCCTACTTAAAGTAAATTTATTAATATTTTAGACGTAAAGCAATATGGATGACCTTTATAGAAAAAGGTGATGCTAAAATATACTTCTCTAAAAAACCCCCCTATTTAGTTGAAGATTAAATCAATAAAGATGTACCTCGAACTGGTTATGATGATAAAATGAATACCAAAAAATATAACACCCTTTTATACCGAATTCTCTGTGCATATGCAATTTATAACCCTAAAATTGGATATACCTAAGGGATGAATATTATTTGTGGAAAGATAATTCTATTATTAAGTATAGATGGAAATGATAAATAATTGGAAGAGGATGTTGAAGTCTTTGAAGATGAAGAAGAAATGTTTTGGATGTTTGTTCACTTAATGAAATCAATGCAAGACTTATTTATTTAAGATGTACCAGGGATCTTAAGAAGAATTTAATAGTTGGAATAAATGCTACAAAGTAGATGTAATGAAATTATTGTGCATTTATAGTGTAACAATATTGTATTAATATAATCATTTATTTTAGGAAAACCTATGCTAATGTTTTAGTTAGTATTATTTTACTATGTTAATGTAAAAACAGGAAAAAAAATTTGCAAGGTTAATATTAGAGATGTTTCTACTATATGGAGAAGCATTTATATAAAATTTTATTGTTGGAGTTTTAGAGTTTTATTAAATGAAAATAACAAGAATGAATGAATTAGAAAAACTAATGCCCTTTTTTAGAGATACAATGATTACATCTTATTATTAGGAATTGAAAAAATTAAAAAAATAGAATTAAATTATCTAACATTTTTAATAATATCACTATTTTGATGTAGAACCTTATTTTGGTAATGTTTAACCAATCATATAAATTGTTTAAAAATAAGAGATTCATTTAAATCCCAAAAATATATTTAAACTACTGCCTAAAATTTGGTTTGGAAAAGTTCTTGGTTAATGATTTATATATACTCAAATATTTTATATATCAACCTAAACGTATTCCTTATCCTTAAAAGAACTGTTGCCTTTAAGGTTACTGGAATTATTATTAATTAAATCTATTTCTTGCAAATGGTGCATATTTAACAATGTGTTTATTCACAAAGTTTTTACTAGTATATGATAAAATTGAATTCTTACAAAAATTAAGGTGTTTCTAATAAGGCAATGCTATTAGTGACTGGTAGGAAGTCCTTTAATAATAAATATGAATGGGCTATTCCTAAACCGATAAGGTCCTAAACTATGTCTTAATCAGTTATTGCGTGAAAAGCAATCAAAACCCATGGAAAATATTCACTTTTGAATTGAAATCCGAAATAAAATCTCACTGTTTCAAATGGTTTTCTCTTGCACCAAACATAGATCAATGCAAAACAAAATGCCGCTGATAAAAATCCATAATCAAATAGCCAACACATAATCTACATTATCAAACTTATTTACATCTCCTGTTATAAAAAAGTAAAGAATCATATAATAGAAATCTGCATAGTTCGATCCTTCGAACATCATTTCACAGTTTTTAATACAAAAGATTATAAACAGCAAATGAAAGATGAAACTAAAACTTAATGTACCGCTGAAAAAGTAATGAGTAAACAGTCTATGTATCTATATAATATTTCATTATCATTCTTACTTAAAGTGTAAATATTTTATTAGCATCGAACATTAAATACCACAAATATGATGGTTTAAATTTTCCAATTATCCCAAATAATACTAGAACACTTACATATGTTCTTGTAAAAAGGGGCTAAGTTTTATACCAGCTATTGAAATCGCTTAACATATTGACGTGTTTTATTATAATAAATATAAAAAAGGTAATTAAAGAATATTCTCTATTAAATTAATCACAAATTATGATGCTTCTCATAAACATCAACATAGCACTTATGCCCGAGTGGTCTAAGGGGTCGCACTCAGGATGCGATGATTAATTTCGCGTGAGTTCAAATCTCACTTTGTGCAGTTTTTTCATAATTTTTTACTTTTAATTAACAATATCTAAAAATTACATTTAATGTGTTATCTTTTATGATATTGATCATATGACTGCATTTATTATAAACTTGATATTAATATTAGGTTCCATCATATCATTTAAGATTTGCTATTAATCTATTCCCTCCTCAATTGATAGAAGGCCTTTGGTAATATATGCAAAAAGAAATACGATAGCAAGAAATCTAAAACAATTAAAAATACGAGAAGTAATGAGTTTATAAATCAAATCTACTTTATAAATGCATGTTTGCTTTATGTGACTTCTAAAAATAACCCCTTTATATATTCGTTTATTATTCAAAATTTCCATAAGAGATTATAATTAATAAAAAATATATTAATAAATTATTAGAATTAGTTTTAAATTTTGTAACAAAACAAAAATGTATTGTTAAAACGATTGTGAATAGATTTTTTTAAAGCTTCTCATTATGTAAATATTTGTGATTTTTATTAATAATTTGCGAGTAATACATTTCTTAGCAATTCAATACTGTAACAAATTAATGAACAAATTAACAATATGTAATAAAAATAAACACAATTTGTCAGTTACCAAAAAGACCTCAAAGAGGAGAGAATCTTAACAAAAATTTTAAGATGAAGATTCTTGACTCTAATCATTTCGAACTTTAATTTTTGAAATATATTCAACATCATATTTACAGTTTTGCCATTTAGCCTAAAATTACTTTGAATTCAGGAAAAAAAGTGAAAGATTATTTGCTTCATTTAAAATGAAATTTTCTCCTAAGGAATTAAGAACTTTTGTATTGCTGGAACAAATATTTGGAATTTTCAATTATAGAAGAATAATATTAATATCACAAAAGTAGTAGATGAAACCAAGTTGATTGTAGATATCAAATATGTGAAGAAAATTAATTTAAAAGATTTAACACAGTAAGATGATTAATAGTCAATAAATATATCGAAACAAGCAATCAATGCTCAAACATCTAAATAAACAATTAAGCAATTAACAAGATCAGTTTTAGTTGTGGATCCAATAGATAGAATAGATAAGATTGTTAAAGAAAGGATAGAATTGGAATCGTTTTTTAAAATTAAGAGATATTATTGAATCCTAATTTTGCAACATTAGCCTATGAAATTGAGAAACCAGATATAATATGCAAAGGAGAAAGAAAGTGCTTTTCTGGAGTACAATTTCAAATTACAAGTTAGTTTGAATAAACTTAATTACAAAATTGGGCTTTAATATATCATGTTGAAAATGAAAAGTAGAAAAAGGATTTTCTATATGAATTTCAAAAGTATGGTAATAGATATGGATTAAATTTGTCAATTCCACATAATTTGTCAGTAAGAAGTTATAACGGTTATGATTGGATATCATGTCTTTAATAACATATAATTAAAAATGGACAACCACAACTAGTTATTTCATTGTTGGGAGAGAAAAATAACAAAAGTATATATAAAGCATTAAAACAATATTTAATTGCAAAAGAAGGAGTTTCTCATTAAAATATTACTTTAAACGTAATTTAGAACAGCAGGTTTATCATGATAGTTCCAAAAATAATGCTATAAATACAAAGCAAATTAGAAATTAAACATGGATGATTTCAAAGATGAAAGAGATCTCAGATGATATTATGATTATCGGAATAGACGTGTATCACAAAACAGAGAAGAAGATTAATTCTTGTATTGGATTCAACGCTTAATTTGGATAGTAAAGTGACACAAATTTCACAAAAACTCTAATAGTAGAGGAAGGTAAAGAAATTAATAAAGATATTGCAAACCTTTTAGAACAAAGTNTACATTTCTTAGCAATTCAATACTGTAACAAATTAATGAACAAATTAACAATATGTAATAAAAATAAACACAATTTGTCAGTTACCAAAAAGACCTCAAAGAGGAGAGAATCTTAACAAAAATTTTAAGATGAAGATTCTTGACTCTAATCATTTCGAACTTTAATTTTTGAAATATATTCAACATCATATTTACAGTTTTGCCATTTAGCCTAAAATTACTTTGAATTCAGGAAAAAAAGTGAAAGATTATTTGCTTCATTTAAAATGAAATTTTCTCCTAAGGAATTAAGAACTTTTGTATTGCTGGAACAAATATTTGGAATTTTCAATTATAGAAGAATAATATTAATATCACAAAAGTAGTAGATGAAACCAAGTTGATTGTAGATATCAAATATGTGAAGAAAATTAATTTAAAAGATTTAACACAGTAAGATGATTAATAGTCAATAAATATATCGAAACAAGCAATCAATGCTCAAACATCTAAATAAACAATTAAGCAATTAACAAGATCAGTTTTAGTTGTGGATCCAATAGATAGAATAGATAAGATTGTTAAAGAAAGGATAGAATTGGAATCGTTTTTTAAAATTAAGAGATATTATTGAATCCTAATTTTGCAACATTAGCCTATGAAATTGAGAAACCAGATATAATATGCAAAGGAGAAAGAAAGTGCTTTTCTGGAGTACAATTTCAAATTACAAGTTAGTTTGAATAAACTTAATTACAAAATTGGGCTTTAATATATCATGTTGAAAATGAAAAGTAGAAAAAGGATTTTCTATATGAATTTCAAAAGTATGGTAATAGATATGGATTAAATTTGTCAATTCCACATAATTTGTCAGTAAGAAGTTATAACGGTTATGATTGGATATCATGTCTTTAATAACATATAATTAAAAATGGACAACCACAACTAGTTATTTCATTGTTGGGAGAGAAAAATAACAAAAGTATATATAAAGCATTAAAACAATATTTAATTGCAAAAGAAGGAGTTTCTCATTAAAATATTACTTTAAACGTAATTTAGAACAGCAGGTTTATCATGATAGTTCCAAAAATAATGCTATAAATACAAAGCAAATTAGAAATTAAACATGGATGATTTCAAAGATGAAAGAGATCTCAGATGATATTATGATTATCGGAATAGACGTGTATCACAAAACAGAGAAGAAGATTAATTCTTGTATTGGATTCAACGCTTAATTTGGATAGTAAAGTGACACAAATTTCACAAAAACTCTAATAGTAGAGGAAGGTAAAGAAATTAATAAAGATATTGCAAACCTTTTAGAACAAAGTTTAGAAGAATATTAGAAAATTAAAAATTATAAATTACCAGAAACTATAGTAATATTTAGAGATGGAGTAGGAACTCATAAATAAATGAATTATATTAAGAGGAAGTAGAAACAATGAAATAAATCATTAAAAATAAATATAACATTAAACTACCGTAATTTGCATTTATAATGGTAAACAAGAGAATAAATTATAGATTCTTCTCAAGAAGTAAAGAAAATTATGGAGTGGTTATTGCAGACAGAGTTGTCTCGTCTCATTTTGATTTTTTCATGATTGCATAATAAATTAATTAAGGAACTGCTACTCCAACACATTACACAGTTTTAGAAAATTCCACTAATTGGAATGAAGAATTATTTTGGAAATTTACATATTATTAATGTTATAATTATAGAAATTGGTGTTGGACCAATCAAAATACCTGCTTGTGTTTAAAATGCTCACACTGCTGCATACAGAACAGGGGAGGTTATCTAAGAATATGCATGTCCTTCTTTAGAATCAAAGCTATTTTATCTATGAGTTTCTTTTTATTTTATATTCAATTATTTTAATATATTAATAAACTTATTATCTAATATACGACTCAAATATTTATTGACAATGCTTATTAGGACATTTCAGAAAAACTATCAATGGAAATTTTAGCCAAACCGTTAATTCCCCAAGTGTCTCCCCAAGTGTTCTCAATGATCCAATACGATTATCCATTGTGTTCACCCCACCCTATTATTTTAACTGCTTGACCCCCATGAAAATGAGGCTATCCATCTAGTACTTAATAAATTCCATCTCTATAGATTAAAAAATCCTTATAAACTGGCATAATCGCAACTGCAGGTCCTTTCATTAAAATGTCCCTTTTGATATCCTATAATATAAATATTAGTACATCTTTATTCTATAATTAACAATAGGACTCGGCTTTAAATCGCTAACATTGATCAAGGGCATTGGTACACTCTTTAAATGTGTCATCCCCTCTAAAAGGATGACATTCGTTTGTAGTCAATCCATGTTTTATGATATAATCAGCTGATCTTGTTAAATGTCCTCCTTTGCATCCCAAATTTAATTTGCCATCACAAGACAATAAATTTTAAGCAGACAATTATTAAGTTTAATTTTATTTGCATACTCTGTCTGAGAATGAAGAAGAAACTGCAATAGAATAAGATGATGAACAATTTCCTTAATTATAAACTTGATGATTGCACTATGGATAGACTTCTTTGAAGTTGTAGTATACAGGGATTTCGTCTGTAAAAGACAATTTGCATTTCTCTACATTTATTTATTAAGTGAAATCATTTTTAAATAAAGTTTTTGCTTACATTAACGTGATATTCTATTGTAATTATAATAATTAAAACATAGAAAAAAGCATTTGGGCCTAAGTTGTATGAATGGCCTTACGAATTGTGTGACTTAATTTCAGATTCATTAATGATAATGTATTCTTTTGTTTACTTGGTAAACGATAAATAAGAGATAATTAAAAACCCAATCACAACTATAGGCTTTTGAGTACTATCTTACTTGATATTATGATATGAATTTTGTAGGTGGTCATAAAATCTGGTTTTGTTGTCCTTTTCTTAATTGCTGTCTATAAAAGCTTTAGTTTCTCAACTTATTGCTTAGTAGGACAAGGACTCGTTGAACGTGATCCACGCATTCTTATTTAATTAATAATTATTAATCATTATTTAACTTAATTCAAATGTCATAAGATCAATTGATTCTAGATGATATTTCAGTAATTCAAATTCTATAAATTAGGACATCATGAGAAGCACAAGAATAATTGATAGATATTTGGTCAAGGCTTTACATTGCATCATTAATGATTACCAATAAAATATGGACATAAATGCATTATTAGATAACCTTAATAATACTAAGCACTTGGTTTGTAACAAGTATTGTTTGTTAGAATCTAAGTCTAATCTACTTAGATACATAGTTAACACTGAAAATTACAATGTAATATTTTATTGTTTAAAATATTAAAGAATAACTTAAAAATCATAACCTTCTTGAATTCTCTTATTTAATAATAAGAATTGAAGTCCATTTCCTAATTAAAATAAGCACATAAACCTAATTGTATACTTATATAACCCAAAAAGACCAAAAATGTTCAAAATAACAAGTCTCCAAAAAAATGCTTCGATATTAAACCTAAATATTTTCACTCCAAATCTTAGACCTGGATTTTTAATTCTAAATAGTACATTTCAAAAATATTAACAATAAAAGTAACTCAATAATTTCAGCTAGGACAGAGAATTATCAAAATTACAAAAATTGCAAACCCAAAATGATGATTACTCTAGATATCGTTCATGGTCTATTCAGCAACAAGAATTACAGTAAGAAAATAAATTGAGATTCAATTATCAGCAGAGATCAAGTAGAGAATTAAGATATTCTATAACTACTTCTACATCTCCAAAATAAAACAGTTAAATTCTACCTTAAACTAATTAGGAACAAGGCTATTCTATACAAATATAAAGGTTAAAAAACGAAATCTCACAGTTAGAATCAAAATTAAAACCTTATAATTGAATTTTAAACTTATCTTTTAATAAAATACTTCAAAAATTATTTTTTAAATAATTGCTCTTTGTTGTAAATTATTAATAATGATTCTAAGTGTCTTTGAGAGAAAATTCTGTCTTTAATCTAGTCGAAAAACTGGTTTTAGGTTTTTTCATTTGAATTTCTATTTTTTCCAAAGTCTCATTTAATTCCTAAATCTATTCCTCCTTCTTTTTGCATTCTAAGCATTAATGTACAACGGGTAAAATGATTGGCTGTGAATTTTAGCGATAATGTTTTAAATCAAGTACTTTGGTTTCTATGTTACTAATTAAATTTGATAATTAAGTAGGTTCAATATGACTCTAGATTAAAGGTGTCTAATTTAAATTGAATTTAATCTTTTGTTCATCACTAAGTTGATTCCAAACTTATTGATATTTATATTATAAGTTTTTCTATTGTATATCTTATAATTATAAGTTATCCATTAAATTATTTGATAACTTTGTGAGTTTTTAAACTTCTTATATCAACTATTCTAATTTACTCATCAAATGAGGGATTAGTTTATTTGTTGAATTTGTTATTTGTTTCATTTTTAAATAATTAACCGTAATAAATTTTTAATCTAATTACTTACCTGTATATAATGTAATTAATTACAAATACTGCATTTTTTAATATTTTTGCATTAACATCAATCTTATACAATTTGAGATTACCATCGATATATATTTATATTCTTAATTACATCATTAAAATCATGATTTTCACAATCCACTTTATCTGAAAATTAAAAATAACCTCTAAATAACACTTAAATAAAGGTGAAATATCAAGAGATGTATTGTTAACTTTGAGAATAGTCAAATTGTCTATGAAATAACTAAGTAATAATTTTCTTAATTTGAATTCAGCTTTTACAAGAAAAAGATCACTCAAATCAATGTTTAATTGATATATGTAACAATAATATCAAAATGATTATTTAAAGCTCAATAGATATTATGGGAATATTTGATAATAAAAATTAATAATGGATAATTAAAAGAAGTGCCTTTTTGAAAAATTCGGAGGAGACCAACAAGTTTCAGAACTCATTGATNAGCTAGGACAGAGAATTATCAAAATTACAAAAATTGCAAACCCAAAATGATGATTACTCTAGATATCGTTCATGGTCTATTCAGCAACAAGAATTACAGTAAGAAAATAAATTGAGATTCAATTATCAGCAGAGATCAAGTAGAGAATTAAGATATTCTATAACTACTTCTACATCTCCAAAATAAAACAGTTAAATTCTACCTTAAACTAATTAGGAACAAGGCTATTCTATACAAATATAAAGGTTAAAAAACGAAATCTCACAGTTAGAATCAAAATTAAAACCTTATAATTGAATTTTAAACTTATCTTTTAATAAAATACTTCAAAAATTATTTTTTAAATAATTGCTCTTTGTTGTAAATTATTAATAATGATTCTAAGTGTCTTTGAGAGAAAATTCTGTCTTTAATCTAGTCGAAAAACTGGTTTTAGGTTTTTTCATTTGAATTTCTATTTTTTCCAAAGTCTCATTTAATTCCTAAATCTATTCCTCCTTCTTTTTGCATTCTAAGCATTAATGTACAACGGGTAAAATGATTGGCTGTGAATTTTAGCGATAATGTTTTAAATCAAGTACTTTGGTTTCTATGTTACTAATTAAATTTGATAATTAAGTAGGTTCAATATGACTCTAGATTAAAGGTGTCTAATTTAAATTGAATTTAATCTTTTGTTCATCACTAAGTTGATTCCAAACTTATTGATATTTATATTATAAGTTTTTCTATTGTATATCTTATAATTATAAGTTATCCATTAAATTATTTGATAACTTTGTGAGTTTTTAAACTTCTTATATCAACTATTCTAATTTACTCATCAAATGAGGGATTAGTTTATTTGTTGAATTTGTTATTTGTTTCATTTTTAAATAATTAACCGTAATAAATTTTTAATCTAATTACTTACCTGTATATAATGTAATTAATTACAAATACTGCATTTTTTAATATTTTTGCATTAACATCAATCTTATACAATTTGAGATTACCATCGATATATATTTATATTCTTAATTACATCATTAAAATCATGATTTTCACAATCCACTTTATCTGAAAATTAAAAATAACCTCTAAATAACACTTAAATAAAGGTGAAATATCAAGAGATGTATTGTTAACTTTGAGAATAGTCAAATTGTCTATGAAATAACTAAGTAATAATTTTCTTAATTTGAATTCAGCTTTTACAAGAAAAAGATCACTCAAATCAATGTTTAATTGATATATGTAACAATAATATCAAAATGATTATTTAAAGCTCAATAGATATTATGGGAATATTTGATAATAAAAATTAATAATGGATAATTAAAAGAAGTGCCTTTTTGAAAAATTCGGAGGAGACCAACAAGTTTCAGAACTCATTGATCAATTCTATTATAAAGTTTTGTTTGATAAGCTACTTCGAGACAAATTCTTGAAGGCTGACATGAGTAGAGTTCGATATCAATAAAAACGATTCTTCGCTTAAATGATGGGTGATGCAAATACATAATACACTGGAAGGTATTTTATTTGGTTTAATAATTATAGAGATTTAGTAGAAGTCCATAAAAATCTCAATATCACGAACTAATAATTTGATAAATTTAAAACACATCTCAAAAATATTGCATTAGACATGGAAATACCAAATGTAGACTTAGAAGAGCTACTTCAACATGTTGAAAAACATAGAGACCTCATTGTATTCTCAAAATGATAAAATGTTTATGCAATTGGTTATATTTTTTATATTAAAATACCCAATTATTTTTATCATATTAATTTTATCCATATTCTATACTAAATTGCATCATTTACAATATAGTTTTACATAATCTCAAATATAATTAATAATAAAAGTTAATTATTACGCATTATCATCTCGCAGAAATACTTTGGACGAAAATGAATAAACACTAATGCAATTAGCATTAGTTTTACATTATATTATATTAAATATCAATTATAACTAATATAGAAGATAAGTTAGTTTAACCATTATTTTTTCCTTTCAACTTTTTGACTTATTGCAGTTAGAATATTTAAAACTACAAATTTTTCTATATTAAAATTAGATGGATAGTCTGATAACTTCTATATATATCAAAAATAATTTCTCTGCATATAAGTGATCTTTGAATTAATTATAGAAGTAGTAAACCATAAATTAACATTATGTGGGCGCTATATTTACTAAAGGATAGGTTTTAGATATTATTTTCTAGGTATTCGGCAGATCTAAAAGAAAACATATTGTTCCAATCAGTGCAAAAGGTTAAGTTTTTGTTTTATAAAAATTAACCGTTATCCAAATTTTAAATCCTTATCCTATTCTGATCAATATTATAAGGTTTTAGTATTTGATATATATGTATTGTAAATAGGTGCGAATTAATATTTTCTGAAAAATAAATGTTATTTTTGTCGCTAATTTATTTATGCTATCTCTAATTATATAATTTTTCTTTTATTTAACTCAAATTAAAATAATACTTATTGTATAGAAAGCTCTAAATTAAGTAGAAAGGACCTTAAGTTTGTAATTGTTAAATTATAAGATTAATTTCTTGTAACAATCCTACTGTTATATTAACCAAAGCTAGCAATCCAGTCACTTTGTTCTATTTGTTGATTAAATAAATATCATCTGTTGAATAATTAATGCAAAATTATTTGCACTGTATAATTTCTAATAGGTATTAGTGCTTTAACTTTTACAAATGATTAGAAAAATTAAGAGATTTGAAGTATCTCAATTAAATATTTTAACTTAAATTGAATTTAGAAATTCAACCATCTCACTGTTCAACTTTAATACTTAGAGTTGCAAGTGCTAAAATGATTCTTTATTTTATAATGTAATTCTATTTCAATTTAGCCTAAGCGTATTGACGAAGTTTGTATTTTAATCTAGGATATTGAAAGAAAAAAGTGATTAAATTATTAATACCGCAAAAGAAGGTTAAAAATATAATTAAATAAAATTTTATATTGAAAAGTTATATAAATCATATGATAGTTTTCCATCCCCAGCTCAACTGATTAGTTCAATCTACTATTTTAGAATGAATTGATTTGGGTAAATTTAATTCTTTAATAGTTATAAATAGCTTTTAGAATCAGAAATCTATTATTAGGTAATAAAATCTACCAAAGCCTTTTGAGGTGAAAATTGATAATTTCAATTTTCTTAACTTTTATTTTATTTCAATTGCTTTGACAATTTCAAATGAAATATTAAAATGATAATTTCGTTTTTCTATTTCATTTTATCAATTAATAAAATTAAAAAAAGAATAAAGAATAAAAATCCAATTCATTTTTTGAAGCAATAATTCATAGAGTATATTTCAGTAAGTATAAACCTATTTTAGATTTACTTAAATGCGTTTAAATTATAATAATATTTAAAAATTAGTAGTTTGAATTCATTAATTCTTGCAAATAAATATTAACTAATCTCCTGACTTTCGATACTTCATCTAATGATAGATTTTTGTGAATAAAGAACTTTATAAGAATGAATAATTTTATTGGATTTAAGATTTATTGGTATCATATAAATCAAAATTAAAATCATTTTAACAATTACTCTTCCTCTTTATTCCTAAAATATTATACTACATTTGTTAGATTAAACGTGTTTTTTAATTATTTCTGTTACTATGCTTATTTTATAACCTATAAGAATGTCATTCCAATTGATTTTTTGTTAGTTTGAGGCTTAATAAGATAAAAACTGTACCATAGTAATTATAGGTTGAACAACAATTGTGTTGAGTTGCTCTTCTAATAATTTTTCTTCTTATAAAGGTGCTATTTTTTCAATATTATCCTCGTCTAAATCTGGGTTTGGTTGTTTAAGTACCTAACCATAGGTTTTTTACATGCACTTATCAAAATCAGAAAGATCATCAGATTCACGAAATTATGCCTTGATAATTTCGCCCAATCTAATATAAATGAGAAATGTTAGTGCATCTAATTTCCTAAACAGGGGTTATTGTCTTCTATCATCAATTGTGATCTAATCATTAGTTCTTATCAATGATAGTTTTTCAGCACATCTAGCTAAAGCCTCTAAGAATTCATAAAATTCCATTTAGAAATGTTTAAGTAAATACAGTTCATCAACAGATGTCTGCATAGCCAGCAAATATGCAAGATAAGCGTCTCTTTCAACAAATATATCACAATACAAATCACATTTGTTTAATAAATCTCTGAAATCTTTAAATTAAAGCCATATGTGCTTATAATACTTTTATTTAGAATTTAATTTTGATGTATACTTGAATAGTAATTTTAACATTGGCAATCTATCCTCTAATAGAATATTTAAATAATGAATTACTTAACAAAATATCACATTATTCATTCCAATATCTCAAGTCCCTCCAATCTTAACTACGGTCGATTTCTTATAGTTTTAATTTGATTCCATCTTCTTCAAACATTTTTCTCAAACTCTCTTTAATTGTTTTGCAAATTTATGTTCTTAAATATTTGTCGATAGCAATTCTAACTAATACTTCCATTAACTAGTATCTTACAAGCGCTTTCTCATAAACATTGGGATAATTGATATCTTTAACATTTGAAGTAGCAATAAAATTTAAATCAATATCACCAGATCTAAATTTTTCAGAAATAACCCCAGTTGTTGATAAAAAATCAGAGAAGGCATTCGATGAAATACAAGGAATCGTAGCCCCAATAAGAGTGGATGCTAAAAATTTATAAGCTGCAAAAATGTAAGGATAATAATCTCTCATAATTTCTTTGACTTCATTATATTCAATTGGATCTTTAATAATTTTATTAATTTTTGAACTTCCATAATCATATTCAAAGCATTCATCAATTAATTCATCATTATCAGGTTAATAGTTTTTAAAAATAGAAATTTCATAACTCCAAAACTTTTCTGTTTTTGTAAGAAATTAAGTTAAATCAAAAGTCTTTTCTTCTTCTCTTGGTTTGCTAAATATTTTCGCAAAATATCTATCCATAATGGATTACTTATCATCTGTAAATAATTCATTTACAAATCCCATTTTATTTCCTTCAATTAAGATATCTCCATTATATAAAAATGATTGTTTAGTTGAATATAAAGGGTCGTCTTGAGGAGTTTATATAATTAACTAATTTTTAGCTGTAGTTTATATCCCAAGCACAGGATTGCTAAAAAAATAAGTGACTCTGAAATTTGGAGGACACATTCTATAAACAGAATATTCTCCGTTATGAAGAGACATTAGAACTGGTTTATAATTTTCAAAATTTAAGTGAACAAATATTGGATCATTGTTCATTCCACCAGATTTCCCAGGTGTCCAGGTAAATTTGACTTCCTGCCACCCATCGCATATCCAACAAGCATCTAATTCACTATCAGTATCATAATTTTATTTGATTGGTTTCATTCCTTAAATTCTGCGAAATCTAAAATTTCTATACAATTCTGAATCAGTTTTTAGATCTTTTATTCTTTTTTATTAATATTATTAATGTTATTGTTGCTCCTGTATTTATATTTCTGGACTTTAATTATCATCTACTAATTTCAAAGTGGTTTATGGGTTTTTTTAACATTCCTCGATCTTTCTTTAAATATCCATAGCTTCTTGAATTCTATCTCTTAAATGTCCAGTAGAATCAACTGAAAATTTTGGGCAATTTCCTTAATAATGAAATCCGTATATATTCTAATTTTAATCTAATGCTTTTTTAATTTCGATTGATTATTCCTCGTTAAAACCATTATATGAAATGTCTATATGCATAAGTTCTGGATACTATTTAATAATTACTTTAGCCATTTATTAAGAACATTCTAAAGAGGCTGTTCTGTTATATGAAATATCAAAGACCTTGACACTTGAATTTTTATACAATGCTTTCCAAATATTAACAGCTCCAACACTATTTATTGAATTAAAATGAAGATATAATTCAAATAGAACTTGTGTCTTCTTTAGATAGTTGGCCAGTTCAACACAACAATGCTCTGTTAAATTATTTTTTGATAAATTTAAATATAACAAGTAATCGTGATCTTGAACTGCCTAACATAATGAATTACTTCCTATATCACCTATTCGATTGTTTTCTAGATTAACTTTTTTTATTTATGATTTTTAGATATATTTTGCTAACAATTAGCAAGATTTTGAATCTAATCCATTATTCATTAAATCTATTTCCTGCAAATGTTATGGAAATGACTTAGTCAATTATTAAATTCTAATAAATATTGTAATTAAAGAATACTTTAATGAATTAAGTTTATTATGGTTCAACTTCAGATGTGTTAAAGTCTTACATTATTAAGTCTTGAGTGCATCAGAAAATACTTTAACCTATTAATGAGATCTTATTTGTGCTTATGCATTAGCAACTTTAATATGATTGCATTATTATACTAGTCCTAGGCCACTTTAAAATATTTGCTATTGGTGTGAGCTTTTATTCAATTGCATATACAAATTTGGAGTTTATTTATAAAATTGAGCATAATCATCCAGTTTGTTAAATTGCTTAATGGTCTTTCTGAAATCTTCTTAAGAAACTTTATTCAAATTTTTACTAATATAATCACTTCAATTGATTACTTTGCAAATCGAAATTTTCTCAAATATTTGCCTCTATCTGTATTGAATTCTTGATTGATATCTCCTTTATATTCTAGTTATTGCATATATAGCTATTTTTATTCGTCATATCTTTAATTATTCTTAAGATGAGATGGGTTAGATTTATGATGATGATGTTGATGCTTTTTGATTAAATTCATTCTTTGAGGACTATAATCTTGATATGAAAACTATTTCATCGAATTAGCGTGTGCCTCGTCATTTTGTCTTTCAATTTCCTATTAATCATTCTCCATCATAACATCATACTATTCAGGTTTGTAATTATCAATTAATTCTCTAATCATTTTCTCTTCCTCTTATTCATTTAATCTCTCTAGAATACTCTTTTAAGGAGGCTGAGGAGTTGCTACTCTATTGATAGTTATAATATTGAAACTGTTAACGGATGGGTATTTCAGTCATTCTTGTTATGTTCGAGTATCTTTCAAATGTGAGTGGCATTTTAATTTTTTCAATATCTAAAATGCATTAAACCTTTGGTGATGTTGATAATCTATTTAAACTATTCAAAGTTGTTCTTTGTGATTAAGATGTTGAAACTAAATTATTTTCTAACAATTTACTTACAAGTTCTTTTCACCTTTTCTTTAGTAGGTGTGTTCTTTTTCATCTCCTCCTCTTTCTTCATTTCTTTCAGTCTTTCCAAAAGCTTTTCTTTTGTATTGTATATTTTGAGTTTCTCAAATAACATAATTTAATTGTTATTATTAATATAATCCATTTCAACTATGATTTCAAACTTCCTACCAAGATTTCGATACATGGATCAACTACAAAGATGTAAATCATACTAATATGAAAGTCATATAAATCACTAGAAATACATCAAAATCTGAGCTAATCTCATTTAATACTTAATACAAAAGCTTATATAAGATAAAACCTATTACCTACTAACTTCCTGGCTTCTACAATTACATAAAATAAGAAATTGTAATCATTTTTCTTATATAGATTTAAGGAGACATTGAATCATTAAATAAGGCATCCACTCACTATTTCAGCAAAGAAGGTAAACTCATTAGGCCAATGTTAAATTTACTCTATGCCAATCACATTGAAAAAAACAGTTAACATACAGAATAGCAAAGGATCTGGGCTGCAGTGATCGAGATTCTACATGTCGCCAGTCTAGTGCACGATGACATTTTAGATGCATCAGATACAAGAAGGGGAATCCCTTCATCTCATACAATATTTGGCAAACATAGAGCTACATTTTCGGCTAACTATTTAATTGGAAGAGCGTACTTAATAATTATAAAAATAATAGTGGTCGAAAAATTTCTGAATTAGATGACATCAGAATGTTCCAAATCTATTCACAAATTATGGATAACTTAACTAATGGTGAATATTTATAAGCCATGAAATAAAAGAGCTTTCATAACTTTGAGATCACTCTCCAAAATTATATGATCAAAACCTATTACAAGACAGCAGCATTGATTGCTAACAGTCTATAAGGAGTTTGCTAATTAACCAACATTAAAGATGCAGTTTGCCAAAAATCATTCAATATTGGGTTGCATTTGGGTGTTGCCTTCTAAATCATTGATGATGTCTTAGATTATACTTCCAACTCTGAATAATTAGGTAAAGCTAGTTTAAATGATCTAAAGAGTGGAGTTTTGACTGGACCTGTTTTATTTGAATTATTCAATTAATAAAAAAAGCAATCCCCAGAATACAAACTCATGAACTCAGTCTTATTAGGCGAGTCTAATTAGTATGATATTGTTAATTAAATTGTTTTGGCTGGAGAAGGAATTGAGTAAAGCAAATTTTTAGCTTATTAACACACCCAAGAGGCGTTGAAAATATTATAAAGCATCAATTCCAACCCTGATTAAGATTTAATTTCTTTGATCTTTATGTTCATTGACAGAAATAAATGATAATTATCAGATTCATTTATATGTTATTTACAAAATTGCCAAATTATAATAGAAATTTGAAAATTAATCTTATTAATGTAAATTTTTTTTCAGACATTTAAACTTAACGTTCTGTATTAAAGAACAAATCATCTAAAAACAAATATTATTAAAATTTTAATAAATTTTTATAACTTTAATTAAGCTTGGATATAGATAAAATTCTAATTACTTTTATTTAAAATTTGTTCAAATTGTTATTTTTAAATTTATTTACTCCTCATTAAATTTTAACTTTTATTTTTATTTAAAAAATTGCTTCGTTTGGCTTCAAAGCTTAAAAATGGTATTTATATCATTGTTGATAATCCATAATTTTGTAACTTTATAGAAAAATGTACTACTATTCATTATTTTTTCAATAAATAATTGTACTCTAGTTCTTGATCTGAATCTTGCGTGTTTCGAGTGGATTAGAAATTGGATCATATAATTCAGTAAAGATGAGGTTTTTAATTAAAAATTGTAATGATGAAAATTGTTGATTTGAAGCAATATCAGAACATGAATTACTAATTTAATTATAAAATTGTATTGAAAATAGAAAAATAACGCAAAAAAAGCAATAATAGCGAAAAATTCAATAAGATTTTCTAATAATGACCCTAGGTAGATACAAAAACAATATGATAAATTCAAGAATATAAGAAATATGTACAATATTCTTAGTTAATAATTTATGAGAAAGTTAGTTTTATTTCCTTCTGGTAGTTTAAATAGAAGTAACTTAATTTGTATAGGAACTAGATTTTATTAACTTCAGTATTGATATAGAATAACTAACACTTTTATTCATTCTCTATATTTTCTAATCTAAATCTCCTAACTTTTTGCATTCCAAGTTACCAAAAATTCTCCATCATCTGTGGCAGCTCCATACAAAAAGTAGGTTTCAAAATCGATAGATTATTCTGTAATCATATCTCCATTATCCCTTAATCTAATTATATTAACATGTTATCCATTTTTATTGATCAATAGTTATTTTGAATTAATGAATTGTTTAGGGAACAACCAATCACATCCATTACCACTTTTTACTTAAATTTATTTTGATAATTAAAATTATTGATTTTTCTAATTTAATTCATAAACTTGCATCTCCTAACTCTTCATAGGTTGAACACTAAAGCTTTAATTATTCAAAAAACAAATTCTGTATCCAACTTATTGAATCACTTACACCAAAACCCATGTATTATTGTTTTCACATTAACTAACAAAGATTCGGTCATCTTAAGCTGCGCAAGAAATCAATTAATTCTAACTTTAATTCAAGCTTAAACTTCTCAGTCGTCCACTATGATATATTAAAGTCTAAGAATGGTTCCATTAACTGGATTTTGCCCAAAATTTTATAGATTTATCGTCGCTTCCGCTAATTATCAAATTACCAGTATTATTTATAATCATACATACTACCCAATCTGAATGAGCAACTAATTTTTATTATACATGCCAATTTGATTTGTCTTTCAACCAAATAATAATCGACATATCCTTACTACCAGAAATAAATGACATTGATTTTTTCATAAAATTTAAACATGTAATCATATTTCTATGCTCTTTTAGCTACTAAATTAATTTTAAGAACCCCAACTTAAATTCATAAACATTTATTACACCATTACAATATCCAGCAATCATAATTGCAGAATCAGAACTAAACGCAATTGCTTTACATTCACTATCCTTAAAAGAATTGATTAATTCATATCTATTACCTGAAATCAAAATTTTTGCATCAATTAATGTTTTTTAATTACTATCAATTTATGTGAGAGCACTTTAAGTTTAAGTTGCATTTTGAAAAGTTGTAAGTTGATAATAATATTTCATCTAATCAGTAATTTATATTTAATTTTAGCAAAATAAACGGATTTGTATCTAATTTGCTTCTATTTCTGCTTAAATTGTGTCATCAAGAATCAGCTGAGTATTTTTATCGTTTACGACTTTGGCAATTGATAATACATCATCAGTTGTCATCTCTGACCAATCTTTCTGCATTACATATTATGTTTTTTTCTGAATTTAATCCATTTTATCTTCATTTGGTTCAGTTAATTAGTTCAACTAATTTATTAATAAATTCAATGCTATTTTATGCTATTTTAATAATAATAAAGAGGAATTCGCTTTTTAATGAAATCCTATATATTTCTCTGTGTGTCTTTAAAATGAATTCCAAAGTCCCTTTAAGTCTTCTATATTATGTTTTTAAATAATAGAATCAAATTCGCATTTCATGCACCCTAGGCGATATTGATTTTTTTAATCAATATTAACAATATCAAGTTAAAGTTCATGAATCTGGCATCTTTGGTTTCTAATTAATAATTTCTCCTTTTCTTAAAAGAAGAAATCTTTAATTTATTCTAATGAGTTTGTATTTGATTGCACTTGTATTTCCTTTAAAAACTATTATTATTATTCTTCAAAAGACAGAATCTAGATTGGCATTAACGAACAAGCAATTGTCTTTTTGATTGATTTATAATCTATTAATTCTTCAAAAATTTTATCAATATCACAATTTTCATATATAAATCTCTATAAAGCTTCTCTAGTGTTTTATTCCAATATTTTATCAGCCGTAATTATAACTTAAATCTGTTTATTAATATCTTAAATGATTTACTCTATAGATTAAGATAGTTAAGATTAAAATTAAAACAGCTATTCCTTTAATTTTAGAAGTAGTTCAAGATTTTTTTAATTCGTTATTTTTCTTTCTCCTAATATTATCTATTCATTTTTACAAATAAAAGCTTCAGCCTCTTTTATCAACAATAAATTATGTGGATATTCATTTTTTCCAACACACTTTTAGCAATATAATATCCGTTGATTCACTATCCTTCCTCTCTCTAAATAAATAGCTTGTTCATTATGCTATGCACATTAATTATTTAGTTTAACATTCATGATAAGGGAAGAAAATAATTTGAAATAATGTTTATATACGCAAATTTATAATGTCTATAATTGTATGAAAAAAGAATTCATCAAATTTGCCGATTAGATGAATCCTATATTAAAACTCAATCTTTGGAGAACCTATTAAATATTAATTAGCAATCCATATCTAGCAATTATAGGCACTAAATAATGAAAAACTAAAAAATTTTAACTAATATTATTCTCATAAAATATGAACATAAAAAAATCATTGTTATGAAATGCAGTTCTCATAAAATCAAAGTAGTGATTAGATTTAAATTATATAAATACAATTTTCAAGATCTAAAGATATTGTCATATAGAAAATTATTATAGTGAATGATTTTAAGTTTTAGAATATAAGTTTTATTTTAAACACTGTAAGAAGCTGCAGCAGATGCAAAATAAAAATGGTGAAAAAATAAAATGGCTTGGTAAATCATTTCTTTAGGCAATAAGACCCAAATAAAGCAATTTACGATTAGAATAATAAGTTAGCATACATCTATAACATAAACAAAGCCAATTCTTTCTCAATTTTATTTATTATCAAAACATTAAACAAATAAATTTAATAAGCTAAACCAATTAATATAAAAACAATATAGAATCAATTGATATCCTAATAGTTTAATGAATTTAAAAAATTTACCTCTTAATATTATTTAATTGAAATGATGTGGATATTGATGATACCATTGCTTCATGAGTGTATTTGTTTGATTTAGATCTATAATTTTGATGCAAACCTATTTTTCCAAGATAGTATCAATTTTTAATAGTTATGAAGATTGGATTATAAATAATGGTAGAGGATCAACATTCTCAACTTGCAATTCATAAACTATTTTTGGAGGATTTAATAACTTTGGAGTTGATACTTCAGTTACTAGATTCTTTGGCAATTTAGATTCTCATTATGAAATGAAGATAGAGATGGAATTTTGGAGGTAGGTTTAATAATTATCTGTAGGATTGATAGATGGGGTTTTGATCAATTGAAGATAATTGTCGATGATGATTTGCAATTCTAAAAAACTTATCGAACAATGGGATCAACACCTGATTATTGTGGCGGTGGAGGTTATGACGATTAATATGAGTTAATATCATTAAGGTTTCCTCATAAAAGGAAGACTGCTTGGGTTTATATTTATGTAAGTTATAATACTGATTTTAATGTAACTATAATACTTATGTATAGTAATCATGGGGTTTTAGAACCTTTAAGATGAGTATAGAATAATGTCCTTAAGGATGTGGTATGTGTTCTAGTAATGATTACCCATAGTGTTTGAGATGGCATTATTAAGAATCCTTTTTTTCCCAATAATTAATTTTAGGTTAGGAATAGTGGAATGGAGAAGGATTTCCTTTATCATAATATCAATCAATACAATGCGCTAATTGCAATTATAAATAAGGAATGAAATTTCATCGAGAAATAGGTTTGGTTAATCATTTAGATATGCGTTTAAGGTTTTATAGATAAGACACTAATAATATACGAGTATCCTCTATTGGAGGATAAAATTATATTATGTACTATCAGAATAGATTTGTAGAATTTGAAATTTTGGGAAAAGATGGAGGAATAAGTCAGATAAGTTTAGAATCACTCCAATAAGAATTATAAATTAGGGATATTGAATTATATTATGCAGAGTCTGAGAACTATGATATCATTCCTTTTCATCCTGGCTGTGATTAATTTATTAATTCCAAATGTATTTCTTGTATGGATGGATGGATTTACAACTAAAAGGAAGAGAAGTGCTATTCAGATTGTGGTGATAGAGTCATTTAATTCTTAGAAGAATGTGATGATGGAAATTAGATACCTTATGATGGATGTTTTGAATGCAAATTCTAATGTGATGTGAATTGTTAAACTTGCAAGTTTGGAAAATGCATAACTTGCAAATCAGAATTTTAATTGGATAATCTTAACATTTGTTAACCAATATGTGGAGATTTTATAGTCGTACCTTATTCAACTGAAACTTGTGATGATGGAAATAGTGTATAATTTGATGGATGTTTTAATTGCAATATAGAGTGTAATGAATTATGTTAAATTTGTCATCACGAACTTTGTTTGAAATGTAAGTTAGGATACATTTTGAAGGAGGGAATATGTGTTTCATATTGTGGAGATGAGATTATCATATCAGACGAAGAATGCGATGATGGTAATCTAATACCATTTGATGGTTGTTTTGAATGCAAATATTAATGTATTGAAGGTTGCCATATATGTTTATAAGGAGAATGTTTGTTAAGATGTGGAGTTGGATTTCAATTTTAAGTTGATAGATGTATATCTTTGTGTGGTGACCTTATTGTAACAAGTGAAGAGTAATGCGATGATGGTAATACAATACCATTTGATGGTTGTTTTGAATGTTAAATCCAATGCCAATTAGGTTATGAATATATTAATTAGCAGTGTGTACCCATATGTGGAGACAGGATTACCTCAAATAATGAAGACTGCGATGATGGAAATTCAATAGAATTTGATGGATGTCATTTATGTAAATATTCTTGTCCTTTGAATTGCCAAATTTGTTATTAGGGACAATGTATTTTATGTGATAATCATTATGAATTAATCGATTCAGGACAGTGTTAAATATAGATTTAGATAAATGATCAGCAATGTAATGATTTAAATGATTTTCCAATTGATGGTTGTTATAATTCTTAAATTGAATAAAATTGGGTATGTTAAACTATCGCTCAAATTAGCGAATGCGCTTATTCATTAAACCCTTAAGTAATCGTCACTTATCTTAACATGGCATCAAACATTTAATATGTCAAGATCTCGTTTAACTAAGAGGTCAAGATTCTATCCGATATATTACTATCTTAGAGTATCAAAACTCAAATACTGGAAATCTCTAGTGATGACTAAAATATTAACCTTCAAATAATCTATGAAGCTGGTCATTAAATTGCTTATGTTGAATATATATTGGAAATAGAAATCTTTAAACTTTTAGATTTTAAACCTAAATTAGAAATTACATTAAATCAATAAGTTGTTAACATAAATGAGGTTGCTATCAATCCCAATTCATATTTTTTAACATTACAAAATCCAACTTACCTGGATAAATTACAATCTGATTTAGCTTAGAGGCTACTACAAATTAATAAATCCGTAATATATTCTCTAGGAGCAATAGGGTTTATGTCATTGCTTTTGGGATTCTCCTCTATATTCTTTGATATCCTTACTGTTTTGCAATATTACTCATATTTAAGGTACATCAACCTTGAATTTCCTTCAAATCTTATGATCTATTTTGAAATTGGAGATATATTATCCATGTAACCATTATTAGATTTCATTCATTTTCAGGACATTTTGAATTGTTTTTCAGTTGATCAATCATTTTAACAATCATATGGAAAGTTTTTGTTTTATGAATTAAATGCCGATCTACTTTAAAATACACAAACCTAGATGTTCCAATTCTTAATGATTGGATTACTTTTTATGGTACCATTATACTCGATTAAAAAGATTGTCTTTTATAAAATTTTTACATAATCATTTTTTGATAGAATTTCTTGTAAATAATTACAAAAAAAAGATTGTGTTTTTAAATTTTACAAAACATTTTATACATTTATGAAAAGATTGATTTCTTGGGATGATCTATTGACTTATCATGGTTTTCGATAGATATTAATAGTAAATGGATGGGATTTGATATTTAAAACACTGTTATTTATTCAGTCTTCAAACACTTTGAACTTTAAAGACATTATTTAAATTATTTTGGCATCACTAATTCTATTTACTTATTTTTTAATTATCATTTAATCTTGCAATTAATCACAAAGTAAAAATTAACGCCTGATAAATTTACTATTAGGAGAAAGATTTTAAATATTTAATCTAATCAGAATCATCTATTTTTTTGTAGTATTAATATTTTTTTAGAGAGAAAAAATTATTTAGATCATATTGATTTCATCCTCTTGCTTGTTTTCATTGACTCTTATTTTTTGTTATCGTAAAACTTTTAAGAATACAAATTTAATTGTACAATTAATTGTTGAAATAATTGTATTCATTTTTACATTAACTTCAATTATTTATATTGAAGAGTTTTCAATTGGAGAAGAACTAAAAATTATTTTTGGTTGGTTTCATATAGCCACACTTTCAATTGGTACCGTTGTATAATTTTTAGTGATAATATATGAAAAAGTTAAAAAGGCTTATAATATCGAAAATTTGTCAGATTCAAAATAGAAGTAAAATAAGAATAATTCCCATTTAATTTTACATGAAGCAAGCAAACGTATTGTAATGTAATAATTCTGAATCTTAATTCTAATTTATAATTTATAAATTTATTAATAAATGATATACTTTTTGTTTATTATTAACTAATCCCCAAAAATATTTTATCAAAAATGGTATTTTAAATTGCAAATAATTCTACTGTAAACTAATGATTTAGTTTATATTTGAACATTGAGACTTTATTTTAATTTGTGTTTTTGGAATTATCTATTTATCCCACATTTTAATAACTCATATCAATTTAATGATAATCACTGTCTGGAATTATCAATTAAATTTTAGGCAATTGAGATACACTGAATATATCCAATTAAATATTAATATTTTAAATTTAAAAATACTTAGAGATTTTAATTATAATAAAAATGATGCCAGGATTAAATAAGGATTTTAAATATGGTGGTCAACAATTTGAATCTTTCTTTTGTAAAAAATAATGTGGTATGTACTTTAGATATTTTTTGAATATCCAATTTCGAAATTGAATAAAAAAAAAAAGGAGGATTATAGAAGTCCAAAAATAAATTTAATTCAGAAAATTATGGTTTAATTTCTACTACAAAGGACGAATAATTTTCATGACCTTTATAACATTTGGATGATTATAACCATCTGTCACTTTAATTGATAAATATATCAGTTTGTAATTCATATTGGAAGTGTAATAAAGCTTTAAGTTTCTCCCACAAATCCCTTAATAATCACTTTTAACTTTATAGAATGTTTATTTGACAACTATTCTTGCTGATAAGCAAATTGCTCTCTATAATTTTTCCGTTAACATCAGAATAACTTTTCCCTTTATCTATCCTTATGTAACAATTAACAGTTTTATTTTAAATACTTTTTACAGATTGCTTTAAAAGATAATAATGAACTGTAACATCATTTAAAAAATTAAATTTAAACTATTTGGAGGTTAAATTTAAGATTCAGTTATTGCATTTTTTAGATTATAATTTTTGGTAGAAAAATTATGAAATAAAAATTTTCTAACAATATAAACCAAGCAATCATCTTAAAAAACATAATAGCTGATAGACAGAAATACATTATTTCTCAATAATTTGATAAAATAAATTAGAATTGAAAATTTAGGAAAAGCCTTTGTTTCTGAATTAGGGAGATTCATAATTTGATTCAACATTTGTTAAAATAATTCCATTTATAATATATAGATAATTTAATAAATAT